GCTTGCTCTCTTTCTCTCAAATAAATAAATAAATAAATAAATAAATCTTTTAAAAAATATCGCGAAGTCTCAAACACCCTGATAATCTCTGCAGATGAAGATCTGATAAAAAAAAATATGACCAACTTGTACAGGTCTGGACTTTGAAAGGCATTGGTGGGGACCAAGGAAATGGGACATTTACTGAACATGACTATGGTCCTGGCATGCATTAGACATATTATCTTTCTTCATTTTCATTTCAAATCTCACATGTTGTTCCATTATCCAGATGAGAAAACTGAGGCTCAGAGTAAGTCATTCCTTTGAGATCACCCAGGTGGTAAGGAACTAAGATTTCCAACCAAGCCTGACTGAGACAGCACATCTCACCTTGTGGTCCTCCCTTTCCATGTGGCACGGGTCAGGGACAATTTTTGGCCAAACAGTGGGGGGCTGGATTTATGTGGCCAGGGTGATTCTCATCTCTCTGCCACCCGACACCACTGTTCCCTTGCACACTGAGGGGTCTGGCTCTTAGGAGGCAGAAGTCAGGCTTCTTCAACACTATGACACTTCTCAAAAAAAGCGAGGTTCAGAGGCCAGAAGATCAGGGTTAATAAGTTGACCTCTTTGAAAATTTGGTTGAGCTTTTTTGTTTCATACAGTGCCAGATGCCTACGTCTTGGGATCATCAAGATGATTTTAGGTGGATGTGGTATAAATAATGTTGAAATCCCTACCACGAAGCTTATGCCCTTTGGAATTATCTTCCAATACACAAATAATCAAACAGAAAATTTAGGGGGCCTGAATGCATCTCCCCCTAACACTAATTAATCTCCCCCATGAGAGAGAACACGCCTCAGACTCAGAACCTTCAGCAGCTAGAATTTAAGAAGACTATTTAATTTGTCCTACATTTAAGTGTATTTTTAAGGATACCCTCTGCTTATGACCAGGGATTCCATTCACAGGGGTTTGTTTGTTTGTTTATTTATTTAAAATTTATTTATTTGAGAGAGAGTGTGCATGAGTGGTAGGGGCAGAGAAGGAGAGAGAATCTCAAGCAGACTCCCCGCTGAGCGTGGAGCCTGACACGGGGCTCCATCTCACAACACTGAGATCAAGACCTGAGCCGAAATCAAGAGTCGGACACTCAACCGACTGCGCCACCCAGGCACCCTTAAAGGTTTTTTTTTTTTTTTAAATAAACATATTTTAAGTAGAAAAGAACAGGCCAATTAAGTGAAAAATAGCAAGTAAATGATTGTGCTATGTACACAGAGGTGCCCAAAAAAGTGCAAGTGGTTTTCAAAAAACTGCAGTTTGAGGAACAATGTATTGGGGTCGACTGAATCGCAGCTTCAAGTCACTGCAGGAAAAGGGGAAGGGACAGTGAATCACAGCCAATGTCCCCAGCCTTGGGCAAATGACTGCTCTCCTGCTCAAATATGAAGCACAGACAGAAAGTTCACCTGATCTCTTTCCCAAGAATGGGGACACTCTATCAAAGTCAGAAGAGATACGTACTTATGGTAATTGGTCCTTCAAAGGCATTGGGCAGCTGTGTGACCGATGTGCAATCTTCTTCGGGTGGAGCTGTGGAGTAGCAAAGAGACAAAGCATGAGAACTTTTAAAAAAATGGGAGCAAAACTGATGCCCATTTCCATTGGTCAGGATGGGGCTTTATTAAAGCTCTATTTGGTAACTAGACCTTAAAAACTCAGAGAGCTTTAAACTGGCTTTGCTGTTGCAGGAAGAATGGATCCATTTGTGTATGATAGTTTTTATACTGTGTGTACGTGTGCATATGTGCGCATGTGCCTACTGTCTGTGCACAAAATGGCAACTTGTTTGTTAGGTTGGTTTCTCTCAGTGTTGCTTCTTGACAAAGAGGAAGGAAGAAAGGGTTGGATGGATGGAGGGATGGATGGATGGA